TTCTCTCTCTCTCTCTTTTTTTTTTTTTCTTTTTTTAGTTTAATTCCTGGGATGATGCTTGTAAATTGCCTGTGGTAGGTGTAACTGGTTTTTGAGTTTTTAATCTGATGCAGGAGCCCATCTCTTCAATATTGGCTTTTTTTTTTTTTTTTTTCAGAACCAGAGATTGAACTCAGGCCCTTGTGCTTCCCAGGCAAGTGCTTATTCTACTGAGCCATCTCCCCAGCTCCTCATTTCTTCAATTTTGGAGGGATGAGAAACCTGTGCTTGTTCAGCCCAGTCCCTGCTGCTTTGTCACTATGTCACAGTATTTTCTGTCACCCTTAGTCAATCTCAGTCTTGGAAAACCAAGAATAGCAGTTTAGAAAAATTATATCACTTTTGGCTAAAGTAGTTCTATCAGCAATAACAGTAGCATCAATCACAACCTAGAAAATGACAAACCTTGGTAACCTTTAATTTGCTACCTTTCACTGTATGAACTAAATTTGTGGTTATATAAAAAAATCTGAAACACACTATAAAGTTGTATGCAATATATAAATCTTTAGCACATCAACTTTACCCTAAGGGGTTAAAATTTAAAAGGGCTTACGGCAAAAATAGAGGTAGAAGAAGAAAAAGAAACTAGAAGCAAGGCTGAAAGACAAGGGAAGATCACACTAACTTGGGAAACCTGTGCAACAGACTAGAGGGAAAGAGAGAAGAAAGAAAGAAAAAGAAGAACAGAAAAGAGCAAAACAACCACCACAACGTGGCTACAAACTACATTCACACTCATATAAAAACAAGATCAAACTGATAGCTTTCAAAAGGTTTGTTAACAATGATATATCAAGTTTAAGATTCAGGACAGGACATCTGTCAGGCACAAATCATGGTATGTTAAGGCCACAAAAGGTGGAGGTTCTCATAAAGGAAAAAGATAATTATTGAAAATAATCAAGGGGTACTGATGGGGTACCTCAGGAATTGTCATACCAAAGATGCCTTTGATCCAGATCTTAAAAGATAAGTTAGATTAGAGCAGGTAGACAAGAGAAAATAAATTGCATCAAAATATTCTGTGGCTGACTTGGCAAAAATAACTCTTATCATTGACTGATCCAGGTATAGTCATAGCTATGTACTGTATATTATCTCAGTACACTAAAATTCTGAGGTTGGTATTATGAACTCTATTATATAGATAAAAAAATTAAACTACAGAGAATTTAATGTCTTGATTGGTATCTCCACATCAGCACATAGGAAAGTCAAGACTCAGACACAGATCTAAACCATTCTCCTTCCTGAGTCACAGGGCAATTTAGCTACCTTTTGGCATCATGATGATATTCTCCATGTAGCAAGCGCATTAAGTCTGATCACAACTTTGAGACCAGAATGGTGGAAAATAAATTCATTAACTGAAAGTAAACCATACCACAGTATATCCAAAACACACACTGCATGAAATTTTACTTTATTACATGTATGTATCATCCTGCCTTAAAGCCTGATTAATGCTCATTTCATTTTCTGCTTAACCACAAAGAGTCAGGCAAGATCACTCAAAGATGTTTCATGCCTTGCCAGTATGGCCCTTAGTTTAATAATTCTGTGTGATTTATATTTAACTAAATGATGGACTATAGCATCACACAGGTCAGAAACTTATCTTGAGATATCTATGGGTACTGATTTTCCCCAGGGATGCCTGACATTCTGGGGATGACTGTCCTTCCTATTGTGGTTGCTAAGGACACCACAGCACAGTGCCTAGTTAAGCAGGTATTAGCTGCACTCACTTTAACTTTCAGTGACTTTTTTTTTTTTTTTTGTATTTTCAGGAAGGGTCTATGGGGTGTTCAGGGTCTCACTACTAGGTCAGACTCATAGTGATCCGCCTGTTTACAGTCTCCCAAGAGCTAGGATTACAGGCACATGCCACCATACCCAGTCTCAATTGCCATCTCAGCATGCATCAGGGATGGGGCTGTCATGGCAGGCCCAGGGATCGAACCCCTGGCCCCGCACCTTCTTGCAGGTGC